TGAAAGAGGAAACATTTCTCTACAAAATCCACGGCCAAATGATATTTTAACCGTGAAGGTGATGGAACGGCCATCAAATCTTTTACCGGGACCAGAAAATTTTTTTGGTCCCGATGCCCATCTCTAAACAGGATAAAGAGGTATATCATTTTCATTTAAAGAGCTTCATTTTTCTGTCGGGCATATACAACGGATGGTCCAGATAAAACCGGTCACTTTTGTTCATTGTTTTTGAGGCACTGTCCAGTAGTTCCAAGAGTTTGTTCCAAGGTGAATCGATAGAGAATGAAATTCTCTATAAAACCTGCTATTTTAATCTCTAGCAGCATTTTTCTTGTTTGAGCACCATTCAACATTTTGAATGGTGCTGAGTTGTCGAATGCGACGTGCTTTTGACGTCTTCTTCTTTGAGATTTTCATCCCATTATCTGAGGTTAGTTAATTTTTTTTGTAACAACCTGCCGGCTTAATAATAAATGGTCAGTCAAAAAAAAAAACTAGTTAATTTTTCCATGTAGAAAGATGGAGAATTTTGTGCTCTATCGATCTCACTGATATACAACTTCATACAATGTTTCCGGTACGTCAGCTGAAGTCAAAATTAGTTCTCAACCGGCTCTTCACTTTTTTCAAATTAAATTAATTGTTTTAATTAATGGTTTGAACTGAGAAACTTTCTTTATATATCAAAAAATGCAGAATTTAATTCTGTGTAAGATGGTAAGACTAAAACCCTTGCTTCAAAACATTTGACTGCTTTTCTAGCCAAAAACCTAAAGTCTGTGTGAATAGATTCAGAAGTTAGGCTTTTTTAGATTTAGCAGATTTTTGCAAAGAGAAATTTTCCTAGAAAAGTGAGCTACAAAAATTTCGAAAATACGTGAGAACATGCAGAATTTACTTGTGAATCTTCTGATGTTTTCAAAATTCTTATGGAATCTGTTTTTGAATCAAGGCAAATATTTTTCTATTTTCAGTGTGTCGCAGTTCGACAACTCAGCACCATTCAAAATATTGAACAAGAAAAACGTCGCCAGAGATTAAAATAGCAGATTTTGTAAAGAATTCAATTCTCTATCGATTCAACTTAGAACCAATTCTTGGAACTACTGGATAGTGCCTCAAAAACAACGAACAAAAGTGATCGGTTTTATCTGGGCCACCCGTTATAGAGTGAAAATCCCGATCCCGTTCAGCAGCTTAAATCCTGATCCCGATCTTTTTTCCAATCCCTATCCCGATTCCGTCCCATAAGTTTCATGCTGATCCTGATCCCGATCCCGTAGATCTTTTTCTACCAGTCCCGCTGGATCTGGATCAGGATGATCCCACAGGGCTCTACTACAATGACTTGAAGAGAAAGCCCTAATGCCATTTTAGTTGTACAAACTTCTTCCAGAACTTGACCATCAATATTTTTGATTTATTTAAGTGAATATTCTCGTCGATAAGAAAAAAGTGCTTTGTTTTTGCAAACAATCATATTGTGAACCAAAAAACTGGGCAATATCCTTTTCGGAAAAATAGTCTACCTAAAACATTAAAAAAGTGACTTCATTATAAGCTGTTAAGTAGGAAAATAATCGGAATCGCCCTTAAGCTAAAACTCAAGTAAAAGTTGATCACTCTGGTTCCAGTTTTACTAATTCTATTGAAGTCTAATGAATATTTTTCGTTTTCAAGACTATGCGTCAATTCAATACTTCATCCCAGTGTCAATAAATCACACCCCCCTCAAAAAAAGCAAAGCTCCGTGATCAACGGGGCTCATTCAGCCTATTTAAAAAATTTTTGATTCCATTGAGACATTGGTTTTAAAAACAGAAAATATGGCAGATGAAAGAGTATCGAAATGTAAAACATTCAAATTCAGATGGAGCTTAAAATTTTGTGTATACTAAGAGATTGTAAGTATATGCTTGGGGACACATCTCACTCAAACCATAAAATATAAAAATCGACTAAATGTTCTCATATTGATAACACCATGGAAAAAATCAACGTTCATAAACATCACGGATTAATCAGAAGGCATTGTTGTTGTGGCGTTGCGGATACAATAAGAATGATTAAAATTTTATTTCTTACATTTTATCATGCAAGGACAAAAAAAAAATAGTAGAAAAAACAATACAGTAGGCTGCACGCGTAATCCTTGAGAAATGTCCAAACACGAACATGAAAAAACCGGTAGCTTTTGTGTTCTATTTTAGAGGTACTTTACTTCCTAGTTATCGATTCTTATACAAGAATCTTACCAGAAACGTCTAAGTCCCTTACCAGTGTCGTACAAGATCCTTATCAGTTTCTTATATAAGATTGTTTAATATTTCCCATCGGCAGTCGTAAGTGTCTTAAAAGAATCTTATAAGATTTTCATAAGAGGTTCGTAAGAAATTCATAAGAAGTACCAAAAATTCTGATGAAGTTTTCCAGCCAAATGAAGCAATTTAATCATAACAGAAATCACCAAAACCAACTCATAAGCCGCCTTCTAGTAAATAAGAATAACATAAAAATTTTTGGTACTTCTTATGAATTTCTTAACAAACCTGTTATGAAAATCTTATAAGATTCTTATAAGACACTTACGACTGCTGATGGAAAACACTAAACAACCTTATACAAGAAACTGATAAGATTCCGATAATAATCTCATCAGTTTTATCAAAAAAGATTTGTCTAGGGCTATAGTTTAAAGACTTGATTCTACATTCATTCACAGACAATTTTCTGCTCTATTCTATGTACAAATTCAATATTTTACTATAAAAAGTTTGTGACCTTTGCACTTCTTTCTCATTGTCTGTATCATGCCACGTGCAAATGTGGCATTATTAAACACAATGAATGGGTTGGAAGTACATCATTAATTTATACAATTTAAATCAAAAAACACGTACATTCAACCCATAAGAAGTGACAAGATCTTGCAACAGGAAACTGTATGCTCTTGCAAGACGCCGTCCGTAAGAGTGTTTGTTTACTCATATTTAGTTCCTGTCACAAGATTATATGATTTTCTTGTCACAAAATCTTACAAGAAGTGATGATTCATTCTTATCGCATAAACGGTATATAGTAATATATTACAAAGTTTTATGACAAAACTTAGAATGTTTTTCCTCCTTCACACATCAGCTGAGAACAAATAAAGTGCACAGTTGTAAGACACGTGGTTAAGCACATTCCTAAAGACGTCAGAACACTATGCTCCAAAATATTATGAAAAGAAAAAGAACTATTTTTAAAGCGGATCGAGTGAGAATCTATAAGACGAGACACGTAATCTTATAAGATCTAATAAATTATTATATGATCTTTTGAAATCTTTCAAGATCTTGTCACTTCTTGTACGATCATACAAGATCTTGAAGGTCTCACGAAATCTTGTTGTAAGCAAAATCTTGTGAAATCTTATAAGATTCTTGAACCATGATTCATGTGAGGACTTGTAAGATCTTGTGATGTCATGCAACATGATCTTACAAGATCTTCTAATACCGTATAAGATCATATTTTAGGATTGTTTGTCCGGGGAATCTCTTTTTAAGTAACTAATTTTTCTCAGCTAAATAAATGTCTGTAAGACCAAAAGGTTCAGGATACATACTTCGAAGTAGCCTCTACAAACTGAAAGGCTGCTTTCTTTTACTTTTCGATAGGTTTTCTTATTCAGAAGTTGTTATAACGGCAGCAGGACAACTTTTTCGTCCAGTAGTCACGTTTTAAGACACGTTTTAACTTTTTCTTTTTTTTTCTTTTTTGCATATACACAGAACAGTTAGCTGTTTCTTAGCCAGTCCGGTAGTAAAAGAAATATAGACTGATTAACCACAATCGAGAGAAGTATAAGATCACCGAGTGCGTTTCATTATTTCATATTAAAAGTCTTTTACATATCGTAAACACAACACATAATTTATTCGTCCAAATACAGACAGTTACAGACACAGCAGAAGGTAAATAACTTTAACTTGTCAAGTAGTTTTTAGAGAGCCAGTTGATTTTTGCACGAATGCATTGAGTTATAGTATTTAGTGGACAAAACAGGTGCTATTACTCCTAAAGACCTTCTCATTTATTTATCCACCTAAAAGAAAGGTTTTGAATTACGTCAAGATAGGGCAAAGGCCAGATTTACATCGAAACGGAGATAGAAGCGTTTTGTGTGTAGGTATCTCCTATACGTTTAACGTCTCCTTTGTTTAGTTTTTTAAACTTGATCTTTATGAAAGCACTGTTTCCATCTGTCAACTATTGTCAATTCGAATCAATAATGTTGTTACCTCCTGTTTTGTTTTAGTATATCTTACAGAATTTGTTGATTCTTCATCGTTCATTGTCATCTACACAGTATTAATAATGCCAAAAGGATCCGGATCAGCTTCAAATGGTTCATCACATGATTCAGAAGAACATAAAAAAAGTTTAACAGCCTATCAGATGTATTGTCATGTAAGTAATGTGAGAAATCCAAATTTTTAAAACAAAATCATCAAAAACAACTTTGGTTTACAGGTGTCAACCAAAATAGCTAACTGTTACATTTCTTTTCTGTATTTTAGCAATGGAAAGAACTTCCGGATGAAGAAAAAAAGAAATACGAAGATATGGCCGTTGAACAAGGTATGAGTTTTGATATAAGCTTCGTTTTGGCCTCAACAATACAGTGCTTCAGGAAACAATCATCAGCTTCTTGTATATAAGAGATATTGATGCCTTCCGTTTTCAGGATTATGCGTCAGATCTTTATAAGGATGGTTTGTCAGCCAAAACAATATTGTACGTTTAAGGATTGGGTTCACTTCTGGAGGCGTAGTTTTCACATCAAAAGATTCGAAATGTCTTCATCACTAAGCGTTTCGTTCTTTTTCTTTTAATAAACAGATTGTTTATACAGAGGGGCTCATAGAATCGAAATTAACGCAGGTATGTTTAGATAATTTTCTGCAGAGGAACTCTTCCTAGCTCATGGTAGAAAATGGTTATTTTAATTTTTTAGGATCAAACGGCAAGTCATCAAATGAAAACTCCGGAAGTTCTAAGTCCATGTCAAAAACTGGCTCGTCGTCGAAAACATCACTGAAGAAGAACTCAGAACCTGATGATCAAGAAGAAGATACTGATGGAAGTATGTACGAGATCGGATACGTTTTTACATGGTTTTCTGTTCCACAGAAAGAAAGAAAGGACTCAATCAGTGTAGATCTTAGAAGGGTACTGTTAAAGAAAAACCGGCGTAACGTTGTAGCAAGCCAAAATTAATGAAACATTGGATACAAGAACGATCTAGAAAGAGAATTTTTTTCTTAAAAGACGTTTTTTGTACCTTGCTTCGGAGAAATCGCCTCGGACAGATACAGAAACGTCCGCTTACGAACAACAAAAGCTAAAGCATTGACAACTAAAGTGGGTGAAAACGTAGTACAGAGTCAACCTGTTCTGTACATGCCGGCGGACACATGTAGAAAAAAAACATTTTCGTTCATTTCGTTGTTTGTAGTGAGTTCTTGATGAGTACTCCTCTCCTCTGTTTTGAAAAAATTTTTAATTTTGAACTGAATATATCCAAAGGTAGAGGAAAGTCTGGGATACAAAATGAGACCACTCTCAGCATTGCACGACTTTCCTTCAAAAAGTTATGAATTTTTTAAGCTTTTTCTTCAAAGCTTGAAAAGACTCAATTCTTTTAGTCTCATAAATTTTTCTTTCCTTTTCTGTACATTCAAAATTTTTCTTATTATTCTGATAGAAGAAAGTGTTCTCTTTACAATGAGACATCGTCCAGAATTTTCCGATGAATTTTCGTGGAGATATAAGCATCACTGAAAACGTACAGAAAGAAGTGCAAAGTCAAGAGAGTCGAACAAATGACCCGATGGAGCTGAGATGTTTACTACTGATGCTTAGATCCTATCATACGTTCGAAATTTTTTTAAAGTTTTTGATGTTAACGTTCGGTGTGAGAAGGTTTTTTGAAAAAAAACAACTTTTTATAGGGAATTTTCAGCATTTTTGAAATATCTCGAGAAGGAAAGCATATTTTTCGAAAAAAAGATAGTCTAAAGCTTGATCGAATCATTTTTCTAAAAGGTATAATATGACTGGATCAAAAGCGGAGTTTTCCAGAAAACCCATAGAAGAAAATTTTGTGCAAAAATACATCAATTTTCTTTTTGTATGTTCTGTTATCTGTGGTATAAATTTTAGCCAGACTTGACATCATCTTCTTCGGTTGCCAAGGGGACCAACAAAGAGGGTACTACTGCAAATGTTAGCTGAAGTAGAACTTTTCATGGACGATCCAGTTTGTACTATGTTTTGTTATAATACTTGATGGTTTGGAATGCTCTGTTTAAGGTGAATTTCTAACAAAAACGAGCTTAGCTGCTACAGAGATTCAGTTTTCCATTACTCTGCCTTAAACTTTCGCTGCTTTTCATCAAATATCAAGAAACGATATTTGAATTGTTTTCGAAGATCGCTGCGTTGGTATTAGAAGTGTATGTATTTGTTCTGATTTTCGCATTCTCTCGTCAATATATATTTTTCATTTCCGTTTTCTGTTTGTCTTTTTTTCAGGTGAAGAAGATTCAGATTATGATGATGATGATGATGATGATGAAAATGAAGAATGAACAGTAACAGCAATTGATTATGGTATTGGCATGGTGTCATTTTTAATAACTTAGTGAATAAAAAAACTATTTTTTAGTGTGTATGTGCACTTGTCCTTTTCGTTCTTTTCTCTCTCTGTATCGTTAGTAAATTTTATGTTATTTTCTTATTGCGAAATTCCTCTCTTTCACTCTAGTTTTTTCAATAAGACTTTGTGTCTACGTGTTAAAAATCTATTATTTTTGTCTATATAAAATCAGAAAAGAATAAATTTTAAAAAAGACTAAAATGTCTTTTAGTCAGTGGCACATAACGAAGAGTGAAAAATCGATTTCGGAACTGAGCTAAGCTCTTGCAATAGAGCGAGAATACTTTCTGTATACAAGAAGCTTTGCTTGAACGTGGACCAGAACAATAAGATTCGAAGAAACAGAAATTTTTCTTTGAAAAAAGTGTGTAGTCAATCACAAAAGGTTATTCCGATTTCTCCCTGATAAAATGAAAAACTTTTTGTGTGTTTTTTACTTTGTCAAAGTCTGGGATATTGTCTGACTGAGCTTTTTCGGTCATCAGAAACGCCATGATGGTGTACACTATTCAGTTTTTGACATAGGTATGCATCGATTAATGATCGATGTTAGGGCATTCAGCAAAATCGTTTAGAATCAGTTATAAAAATCACTTAGAGCTACGGATTTTCTCATTTTGTAAAGAAATGTTTACTGTGTAGAAGTAAAGTATTAAACAAGTTTTTACTGTTATATGTAAAAAAAATATGATAAATCAAAAATGCACAAATAACAAATAACATTAAAATTTTTCGAACACTTTACCTTTCTAGAGCAAAGATTTCTCTACAAAATGAGACATTGGACAACTATGAGTGATTTTTTATAGCTGATTCTACTCGATTTTGCTGAATGCCCTAACATCGATGACATAAACATTTTTTTAAAAAGAAATCGTTTGAAAGAATTAGATTGCTATAACAATAACGTCGTTGTGAGAAGTAATGGGTAAAGTTTTCAGTATAAAAGATAAGATAACTGCAGCTTTAAACATTTTGTTTCTTATTTGGAATTTTCGACCTTTCTGATCATTTTCGACAACAGTATGGACCAATTATTTAGAAATTCGAGTAAGACTTTGACTTCTGAACGAGAGATACAGAAACAAAAGGAAAAGAAGAAGAATATAATGGTTTTTAAGGTGCCGTATTATGGGGATGTGAGTCGAGACTATGAAAAGCGTATTCAAGCTTTAATTAGAAAACAGTGTCCCAACAAAACAGTTAGATTGGTGTATACAACGGATAATACTATTGGCAAAGAATTTAAATTAAAAGATAGTTTACCGGATGAATTACAATCAAGACTGATATATGAAGCAAAATGTCCTGTTTGTGGAGATAGATATGTCGGAAAAACATGTAGACATTTGCAGGCAAGAATAAATGAACATCTGAAAGATCAAGAGAAATGTAAGGTGAAAACAATTAAACCTAAACAGATTTCACCAGTTGCCTTTTTAAAAATAAAACGGATTTTAAAAAGAAATATTTATGTACAAGGACCGGTAACTCGTTCACAGTAAAAAAGCTATAGTTAATAGATCGACATACCCTGTGTTAAACGGTACAGATCGATCTGTCCCATTGTACATTTATCCTGATGGTAGGCAAACGTCTATCACACGATAGAACGGTATTAGATAGTTTTTGGAAGAAGAGTCGCTCAACTGATAGCAGAAGAGCGCCCACTCATAAAGAGCGGCAACAAGCAAATATTATATCTTATTGTTCAGTTTTATATAATAAACATGCATATGTATCAGTTCCTTGGCAGTAAAATCTCGTCTTAGTTTATCGAAGGTTAAGTGTTGAATGTGAATGAGAATTACAAAATCTAAAAGACTTGTTACTTACGCTCAATAACAAAGGACAAAGATTTGTTTCAAGGTCTTTTTTGGTCGTGGTGTGTATCAGCAAGACTAATATGTTTTGCGTTCTGTTTAAGACGTAACGGTACTACTATCGGCTCCGAAATACAGTGCAAGTTGCCATGTTTTTAATGACTCAATAACAGCATGAGATAGAACCTTGCAGTCTTCAACAATACAAAGCAGACACCTGAGTGTAAACTTTCCACAAGCAGATTGGTTGTTGAAAAAGTTTTTAAAGCCGAGTTTCAGCGGATCTTTGGAAAACCAGTTGGGATCTCTAAAAACTAACATTGAAGTAGGTTAGTTAGTTTTCATAGATATATAGTTCAAAGTGTTCTCTACAGAACTGGCGCTAAACAACATCTCGAAAATCCATGGTTGGGAGCTATGGACGTTTTTCCCGAAGCTTTAGGACTCCTCTGCCGTTAGATTTGAGACTGTCAGGAATAGAATATAAACATAGGTTATCGACTATGCTAAATCGTGTGACAATGTTAGTTTTCAGAACAAACTGCAAGGACCGAATGAAAACTTTTACTAAGTGAAATAAGCCATTTTTGGCTTTTTTCATCAAACATTAGAAAATTCATAACTCAGTCAAAATCCATTCAACCTACTTCAGAATGCCAGGAAATACTTTATTTTATGTGCAGCATAACGTAAAGCTCAAAGAAAGTTGAAAAAGCCAACAGAATACTTTGGTTTTTAGAAAGATTTCGCAGAAACGTTCGAAACTAAGAGAATATTTTTCATTGATTTTACGTACAAAATCAGATTGAGCGGATAAAATAAAGTATTTCCTGACATTCTGAAGTAGGTTGAATTGATTTTGACTCAGTTATGAATTTTCTAATTTTTGATGGAAAAAGCTAAAAATGGCTTATTTCACTTACGAGGGTGAGGGTTAGTAAAGGTTTTCATTAGGTGAAAACAACCTGAAAGCCTAAGTTTTCGTAAAAATCGCTTTTCATTAGATTTTAAATCTTTTTCTAAAAACAAATATTGCCACAAGACTCAGCATGACCGATTACCTACAACCAATCAGTTTTCAGACTACCATTAGTCATCGGGTGCCACTCTAGGGACCCGTAGGGAATCCAACAGAACGCCCTAACCGTAGAAAATCAAGATCTCGCTTGATCCCATTTTGAAGAGAAGATCTCGTGCTACCAGCCCATGAAAGCAATCGGTACAATCCTATTAAAAAACGTTTAGATACAACCTGGGTTTTCAAAGATCACCTAGAAAATCTGTTTCAGAAAGCTCTTCTGAATATTATTTCGTTTGCGAAAGTATGTTCCCAAGTCTCTTCTTGCGCATGGCGAAAATCGGAGGCAGCTGGCTCTTTTCGTTTGCGTGTTATTCGAAAAATGATTATCCTTATTATTTTATTTTGCAGACAGTACTTAAAAATTACAATATCTAGGCCAAATCCAGACTAAATATAAAAAATCGGACTCTGTTGGCCTCTAGCCACATGTGTCAGCTTCAATTTAAGATCTGCCGGGCTCTCTCCGATGTTTCGTTACCAAGAAATCTTCTGGTTACGAAATGATGTTAAGGTGAAAGTCGCTTTCGCCATATAATGGCGCCAGTATGTGATGCATGTTTTAGGTAGATATGCATCAGTACCAGTATATTGGATGCCAAAATAGTTTGGCGACCAAATAGATAGTTAAATATAATGTTATTTTTGTAAACTTAACTTTTCTAAATAAGTTTCTTTTCAAGAAAATACGTATTGTCGTTTACCTCATATCCAATATTCTGTAATAAAGTAAGAGATTAAAGAGACAACCAATAGCATACTCAATCTTAATATTCATACAATATTTGCTTTGGTTGTTACATGTTTATCATGAGCAATATTGAAAACAAGACAGATAATGGTATTCAGTGAGTTACCATTGCTTAAACTTAATGGCAACTACTAAAAGACTTCTATTTTATACATCCCTAGAGATAAAATCTTATATAGGATTCCTATAGGGATCTTATAGAGTATCTGCAAGGATCTTATGGGAATCTTATGTATTTCTTAATAAGGCGGTCGATAGAAATGCGTAGAATATTGTTAAGAACTATAGAACTTATAGAACTACTTCTATAAGAAACTGGTAAGATTCATATAGAAATCGTATAAGGGTTATAGTATTGTTGTATAAGATATTTGTAAGCCAAGTACTCTATATTCTACTTTCGTACTATAGTCTACTGTATCATAAGTGAATAAAATAATTCTCTTCCTATTTATTTTGCTGTTCCATAATAAAATCATAACCCCAAAGGGCAGTCTAAAGACGCGTCCTTATGGTCCACTCTTGCAGACCGGATTTACTTCTCCAAATTTATCACTACTATAGAAAAAGAATGAAGTTCGAAAAATAAAACTGTAACAGAAGAATACAGAGTACGACATCTAACTCAGTCATATAAATTGCGCTTTTTCAACCCGATCTCTAGCAAAATGCATCAGTTGTGGTTCTTTTTTCTCTATAAAGATCACTTTCAAATCGGATTTTCTAAGTCACAGAAGACAGAGCAGCTCCAGTACTGCTAATATACATCAAAACTCCTTTCATACCTGTCTTAATCAAGGGCTAGAAGGAGTTACAAAAGAACTTCCTATACAGCTGGTTACATGACTCATCGTTCAAAAGTAAGTGGTTAAAGAAACGAGTTTCATAATTGATTGGGACAGAGAATGTATCGTTGAAAAAGATTTTAGTGAGTCTTACTACTAAAATACAAATCAGATCTCTCAGTATAATTCTGACAAAAACCTAGGTAATCCTGTATAGAAATTCATAGATTTTATAGGTTTCCTAATGTAAGCTTTCCCGTGTTTTGCAGGATTCCATACGTTTTAGTTGATGTAAATAAAAGTTGTATGTTAACTTATCTAAATCTTACGAATTCTTCTAAACTTATTATATAATCTGTCTTACCGAAATCTTATCAGAATCTTATAAGATTCTTATACTGCTTCGTATAATAATCTTATCAATAAATTACGCATTTCCATCGGCTGCCTTATATAAGATTCTTATAAGATGTCTATACGATCTCTATAGAATTGCCGTAAGTTCGATCGCCTAGGGATGCACATATACAATTCAAAATAAAATAAAAACTATCGTTAAGTTTATAGTTCAGTCGTAGTAAACAATAAAGTTGTAAATAAGATCAATTTGGTCCTGTCCATCCTGTTTTTTTCAACCACGATTCAAATGTATTCAGTTTTGCTAGCTTTAGTCCACTTTTCCAGTCATTTTTTGGTCCGTAATAACCGTATTGTTCAAACCATTTGTACATATTAAATAGATCATCCTGTGCACTCTTTGGCATATGTTTTTTTTCGAAATTAGAACGAAACTCATCTTCTGTAGATGTTTGGGCAATCGCTGGTTTTCCTGTCACTTTTTGAAATACTTTTGGAACATCTTCAAATGCAATTTCTTCCCCGCAAATGCATATATCTTGACCAATATACTGATCAGGATTTTTCAATATTTCAACAACAATCGATCCTGTATCATCGATATCAACTAAATGTAATTTTGTTTTTTGATCGAACGGTGCTCGAAACACAACAGTGCCATCATTCGTTTTCTCTGGTGGAACTGTTAACCAGTTCTGTACATAACATCCAGGTAGAACAAATATCGATTTTAATTGTGGATATTGTTCGACAATATAATCTCGAATTAGAGCTTTTTGTGTAAAATGTGGCACATCTCTAAACATTCAAATACAGTATATATCTTGTGAAGAAAGTACTGCATTAGCGAATCTGTCGAATCGGCATGGATTATATAGATTCATCAGTGATTCTATCAGTAAGGGGACACCTCCTATATCCTGATCGGGATATATATCCCGATCGGGATATAGCTATATCCCGATCAGGATATAGAAAAAAAGTAGTATCCCGATCGGGATATAAAACACGAAATTTCGTCG